GCTCCCAAGCTGGGCTGGGTCCCCTGAACCTGTGGACAGCTGGCAGCCTAATGCTGGGCTGATTCCCAGGCGTGGGCGAGGCCAGAAGGATGGGGCAGATTGGGCAAGAGAGGAGGGGAGACAGCAGAAGCCAGAGAGGAGGGGGGCAAGCCGAAGCCAGAGGCCCCAGATGGGACCAGCTGGGCGAAGCGGGGCACGTGACACAATGGGCCAGGAGAGCCGCCAGGCCGCGGGGACGCCCGCTCGATTGATTCTGGTCCCCGGGAGTTAGAGAAGTTTTCCCCAAGGGGTCGCTTGAGCCCTGGAAACCTCCCGCAGGGGCTCAGTTAGCGAAACCACTGAGGTCCAGAGGAGAGTGAGCACGGAGGGGTCGCCGGGCTGGTGGCCGCCCCATCTAGGCGGGCTGAAGCGTCTTGTTTGTGAAAATAAGTCCCCACGCTGCCTCCTTGGGGAGCCCCGGCTCTTCTCCCCCTGGCTGGCGTAATCGCCCTCCACAGAGAGACGGGGCTCTGGGGCACGAATGGAGGGCGCCCCGCGCGGGGCTGGCAGGCCGCGGATGCTCCCCGCCACGCAGGGGTGGGGTACTTATTCCTAGGGCTTACCTCAGAGTGCCCCAAATCCTTGCCCGAATGAGACACAGACCCCACAGAGATAACCCAACAGGCTTCAAGAAAGCCTCACTCACACAACTTTGACCTTGGCTTCCTCAACCAGACCCCCCTGACTCTCATGTGCCGAGAAGCAATCATTTTTTTTTTCAATCCTATAATTATCTTGTGAATAGCACAGTTATATTGAATTGTAAACCTTGGAGTGTTTGCATAAATACTTAATATATACCAGCTATTTTGTAACCCTGTAGGGCATGTCTATCTTTTTAGTGTTCGAGAGCCCTCATTTAATATTTTAATGCGAGCCGCCCAGGCCTCTCTCCACCTCTGGGAGGCGCTGTTGTCTAGCTTTCCTCCCCTCCCCCACCGGGGACAGGAACTTGGGGAGAGCCTGCCTGGGCACTCCACATCTGGAAGAGTCCTCCGTGGTGGGTGGGTACGGAGCATGGTTCTGGGTATTACTGCTGGGTATAGGAGGGCAGAGGAGGGAAGACTGGGCAATTTTCAAAAGCTCTCTGTGCCCATACAGATAAGGAACAAGGCTTAGACCGTTTGAGAGGCTTCGAGAGCCCCCTGTGTCACCAAGGCCATCTGGAGGCAGGCAGGTTCCCACACCTGGAGATTATATATAGGTATATGTATGTGTGTACACATACATATACCTATATATAGGTATATGTATTTCTTTTTTGGGGAGCGGTATCCATAAAATTATTTTCTTTTACACCATTCTTGGTTTGCTCATTACACAAGGACATGCTCTTGTAAAAATTTCAAACAGTGTAGAAATTAACTTAGAAAATTACTATAATGGTGTCCTATACTATAAAAAATATAATTTTTGAAATCTTAATAATCACAGCTTGGACATTTTCCCATGACAGCACCAAAGCTCTACCTCATTCTCATTGGTTGCATAATAGTCCCCTGTAGAGATTAGCACGATTTATTTTTCCGTCCCCCAGTAAAGCACATCCCCCCTGCCCCGCCCAATTCTCAGTATTCCTTAGAACTTGGTAAGAGAGCCCCTGGTTCATAGAACTTTTTGCACATGTACGAGTATATCGGTGTAGGATAGCTTCTTGGAGTGAGTGGGATTACTGCCTGGTCCTGGGGGGTGTCTGCTGGCTCCTGGGAGAAGACCCATCTGGTCCTTGTGCTTTCAGTTGCTCTCGAAGGGCAAAGGCCAAGGCCACAACTTGGCTCCTCACAGACCTCCCACTGGTCGTCAGCGAAATAGGACTCTGGTGTGCCGTGTGGTCAGAACCACACAGAGGGCCAGTGTGAGCTCTGAGCTGGGCATCCCTCAGCCACCTGAATGTGGCAGAGTGAGAAAGCTCCTGACAAAGAAGTGACCAGGAAACAACAACACAGTGGCTTCAGACCTGGAAGACCACCTAAGGGTCACTCCTAGCAGGGATACAGACAAGCCCAGCTCCCCCTACTCCCACCCCCACCAAAGATCACAGGGTGCGCTTGGCTGATGTCTTCTCTACTGCTGCCTTTGAGAGACAACATCAGAACCCTCCCGAGTGCGGGACCTCGGCTGGCCGCCGAGGAAGAATCTGGGGTGATATGGGGGACTAGGAGATGGGGCTTCTGGATCCCCCTGCCCACTTTGCTGTGCATTCTTGTCAAAGAGCTTTGTCTCTTTAAGTCTCAATTTCCTCCTCTCCAAACACCTGTTCCTTCCTTTCTCCACTGAAAGGCTAATGATAGTTTTGAAAATAACCTCTTTGGATAAAGTCACCAGGATCATAACTCTCCCTCCTGGTTAGGAATGGGCTGAGTTAGGGTCAGAGCCCCTACCCCAGACCCACTCTCCTCAGAATCTGGCTTCTCCTGGACTCCTGGTCTCTGTTTACTATGGAGTCTAGGAGGGGTGGGGCCGTGGCTTCTTCTCCCTGGTGGCTGTGACTAATTGGGCTCCAGCAAGCTCACTCCAGGGACCTGGTGAGCGGCAAGGAGAATCCTCCCAGAGCTCTTTAAGTTTGTGAGCAGCAGGGGGATTCAGAGTTGTGAAGAAACCCCAAGATGAAAACAGAAGCCAGAGTTAGTAAGAAGGAGCCAAGGTAGGGCGGGGAGTGCCTCAGGGGTGAGTTGGGGAGCTCCTGGCAGGCTTTGGTGTTTGAGAGGAGACAGACAGGGAAGATACAGAGCAGGCAGCCCCCAGCCTAATTCTGGGTCCTTGAGTAGAACTCCAATTTGGCTGTCTCCTCATTTTCCTAAATCACCTTTGTGCCATCTCTGGCATTTTAATCCTCTTTGCCTTCCTTCTCTATTAGGTTCACGGTCCCTCCTTGGGACTGCCCTGAGGCAGTGACCACAGAAGACAATGGGGGTTGGGCAGGCAGGCCTGGTGGCTAAGAAGCAGGAAGCAAGTGTTTAGCTCCCCCTTTTACATAGGAGCAGGAGGGAGCCACAAGTATAATGGCTTTGGGGGTCTTTAAAGATTCTTGTGTCTAGTTCTAGCTTAACTGTGCTCCAGCCATGCCAACGACTCCTTTCTGGAAATAAAGGGGGCTGGGGCAGGAGCTCTTCTGTGAGCAAGTGGGAGGGACAGCAGGTGCCCAGAAACCAGAGTGGGGGAACAGGTACTGGCCGGTCCCCAGCTCCGCCACTGCCTTGCTACCTGACCCTGGAGAAGTCACTCCTTGTGTTTGTTTCCTTATTTACGAGAGGATCACGATTGGCCCAGCGGGTTCACAGTGCGGAACTCGAGAAGGGGCGAGGGTGTTTTGAAAAGTAAAAAGTGTCAGATAAATGAAAGGATTTGCGTGATAATCAAGAGTGCTATTGGTTGTCCCTGTCCCAGTCCGAGGAAAGTAGAACCGTGGAGTCCTCTGTTTACAGCTGACTCATCTGGCAGGAGGCCGGAGGTATAACCTTGGCCACTTGGTAACTTTCCTTGAATCATGCAAGTCTCTGGTGCAGATAAACTGGCAGGAGCATCCTTAGGGAATGCGCTTGTCATCTGGAATACTAAGAGGCTGCAAGCTCCTACAGCCCTTTCCAGGCATTAGAAATACGACCCCCCTCTTAGCCCCATTTTACAGATTTAAACATCGACCCACCTCCTTCAGTAATTCACGGGCAGATCATGTTCCTAACCCACATATCACATGCCTAGTCCTCTGTCCCCTGCCCCTGGCTTCCTCAGTTGGCTCCAAGGGAACAAAACTTCACTCATTCAGGCCCCCAGACATTAACTCCTGCCTCTCCACAGCCCTCTGGGCAGAGGACCTCTGTTTAGCCACCTTCACGTCCGCCAGTCAAGATGAGGAAGGAAAGGGGAAGAACTGAGTGAGCCACCACCTGATCCTTTCTCTGGTTCCCATACTCCCCATCTCCATCCCAGGATAAACACCCTGAGCCGCTGCCCTGCCAGTGGTCTAAGATGCCAGAACATTTTGGATGCCCGCTCCAGCCAGGACCTCAGAAAAGGAAATCAGATCACTTAAAAAAAATTTTTTTTTGGAGTGGTGGAGGAAGTCTCTAGTAAGATCGCAAGCCTCTAAGGGGGGCCTCCCTTTATGTCTGAGGCAAACCATCATAGACTCTTGGAATCTCAGTGCTGGGAGCCACCTCCAAAGGTCATTCAGTCTAGGCCTCACTTTTTGAGTGAGTCAATGCCAAGACCACACAGAGCAGAGGGTCCGTCACTGAGGCATTTAAAATCGTGCTTCCTCTGCCACTTAGATATGGAATCACCAAAGCACCCAGGATTATCGCCACGAGGGAATGTGTCAGGCTGGCACCCCAGCTCTCCTCCCCACTGGTCCACTGCTGCCGTGAGTGGGACCGCATGCCTGGGGGGATGGAAAATGGGCAGAAGAAGCCCAGGGGGTGTCAGGGTCCCAATGCCAGTCTTGGCTCCTGTTTCTTGCTAGCAGGGCTGGGGAGACCATGGGTTCCCCTTCAGGACCTCCCAGCTTGCCCTAGCGCCGGGATTGGTGATGGGGCTAACCTGGTATTCAACAAAAGGGGAACTTGAGGAAAGAAATGAGTGGGCTTCTGAGACCTGTGGCTGCAGCATCTGAAGGCAGGACATTACCTTGAAGAGAAAGGTGGGAGATAAGATGGCAGGAGGGACTCACTGGGGAGCCTTGCCAGCCAGGCCTCCTCTCTGGGAAAGCTCCGACTTGCCCAGAATGAGGCTGCAAAAGCCGGTGGGCTCTCTGTCGTTTATGTCAAGGAAGAAAAGTTACTGACAGTTGTCACCAGAACAGTCAGATGTCTCCCAAACTCAGTACCCTGACATCAGCAGGCTCTGTGACCAAAACACCCCCTGGGGCAAACGTACACCTGCCCTCCTCAGCAATGCCCCCATCCCCTCCATCGCAGGTCCCCTGGGATCGAATGGGCTCAGAAGTTGGGAGCTTTACTGACCGTCGGCATCGAAGTGCTTCCAGATCTCCAGGAACTGGGACGCCGTCAGCTCGGCCAGGTGCAGGTAAGGGGGCTGCTGCTGCGGGCCAGCCATGGTGAGCCGCTCGGAGACCTCAGGCAGCACAGCGCTCTCCCTGCGCACTCCGCACTCGGCCAGGTCTTGCGCGCCACGCTGCCTTTATATACAGTCCCGAGGCTGCGCCTGCGCCCGGCTGCCAGCAGGGGGCGCGCACGCTCACAGAATCGGCCCGGGTGGCAGAGGGGCGGCGCCCAGGGCTCTGCCAGGGGTCGCCGTGGGGTGGGCGCAAGTCTGCGTTGTGAGCGCTCAGCGAAGGGAAACAGAGGCTCTGAGGTGCAGAGGGGAAAGAGGCTGCCCTTGCCGTCCCTCTCCCTAACCATCTCGAGTAACCACGCAATCTTGGTAGCACTAGCGATAACGACAACAGAAGTAGCAGCGACACTACTAATGTAAGAATGTTTGACAAGTATATGGCACCCGGACTTCGGAGTTCACCAGGTCTCTCTCGTGCCTTCCCTCGTTTGACCCTTCCACAGCAGGAAGACCAGGGACCACTTTTCTGATGTGGGGACTTGAGACTTCTAATGACTAAATGACCTGCCCCGCGAATAAGTAGCTGAGTTAGAATTTGAACCCAGCTCTTTTTCCACGCTCTCATGGCCCCTTAATGGGAGAAGACGAGCGTTCTCAAGGCTTTCCTGGCGGGGGCGGGGCGCCTCGAATCGAAGTCCTCTAGGGAGGATCCAGATGGGAGTGGAGGAGCGCCTCCCACAGTCCCCTGGGTCTTGGTTTGTGCCCTCCCTAGGGTGCCTCCGTCTACCCTCTGGTACCTGCCTTACCTTGGACAGGCTCCAGAGGCTTTTAGACCTTTGTCTTGGGGGTGGCAGAACTAGATCCTCCTCTACCGGGTCTTAGCCACACCCACCTAGAGACGTCGTGGGAAACTGCCTAGGCCGCGGGCAGAGAAGGCCTAGTGCTGGTCTAAGAGTGCTCAGCACTGGTCTCAGAGAGCACAGTCCTGGGGACAGCAGACAGAACTCCCCAAGGTGGGGACGGGGCTCGCTCCCCATTCTCTCTGGTGGCCCGAGTCCCGGAGGCTTGTCCTGGCCTTGTGCACCATTACCCCCCGAGCGGCAGCTCGGTCCTTGCCTTCTTCCCCCTCCTGCTGCGTGACTGAGAAAGGTATGGACGCTCATTAACATGTGCTAATGAGTGTTAGTGAGCTGCCTTCCAAGCAGTGAGCGAAGGGAAGGTGAGAACAGAAAGGAGGTCGCTAGGGAAGAGAGGGCCACCGGGAGGAGACTGGGGAAGGGTTGTCCCTCAGGAGGGAGTGGGGATGCACCCAGGGTGAACCCCGAGGGGCAGGAGAGTGAGGGTTCTAAAAACACTTTTTTTTTTTGCCCAAAGCGAATGTGTCTAGAGTGACTGACAGGAGCAGACTAGGAGAGAGGAGGAGTCATAGAAAGCCAGTTGGTGAGGCCTGTCTACCTCCCCTTCCTCTTGAGAGTCCTGGGCGGAGGAATTCACCAAAGCGCGGTCCCTCTAGCTCTGCCTCTAAGGAGACAGGATGGCTCAGTAGTTAAGAGCAGGCACTCTGGAATCAGACTGCTGGGTCTTAATCCCAGAATAAACTGTGTGACCTTGGGAAAATTACATAAGCTATCCATGCCTCAAATCCATTCCCATTCTGCAAAATGGGAATGTGGATATTTATCTTAGAATTGTTCCGAGGACTAAAAGAGTTGGTGCTCCCATTATCTGCATAGGTCAGTGGTGGTTGGCTGCGGCCAGCAGACCTCTCCTGGGATAGTGAATGGCTCCCGGAGGGGCTAAGCCCAGAGTGAGGCCAAGAGGAAGGTCTAAACACAAGCTCTTAACCCCTGGGCTGCACAGCCACTCAGGGGCCAGGCTCAGCCCCCTCCGGGAGCCATTGCTCGGGCTCCTCTGCCTCACCTCCTGCCCCCTCCCCTGGCCCAGATCCCAGGGGCCAGAGAGCTCATCCCTGGCTCTCTGAAGACTGAAGCCAGTACTTTCTTCCTGCTTTGGTTTTCCTGGTGAGGCAGAGAGAGTGGAATTCCTACTCCCTACTTTCCAGAGCTGTTGAGACGGGGGAAGATGTCGGCCTGACTGGGGGAGGTCCTGGGTGTGACTACAGGGTGGCCAGGCCACAGGACCTCCAAGCTCCTCATTGAGACAGCCCTGCATTGTTCACTTTTGATGCATGGTTAGTGTCTCTTTCTGGAAGGAGCATCTCCGACTCTCCCGGACACAGACCCAGGGAGCGCCACAGAGCCCAAACACGTCCCTTTGTCCCTAGGCTGAGCCTGCAGAAGCGGTCACATTTAGGAGTTACAAGCTCTGCTCTGGGGTCGGACAGATGCAGGTGCAAATCCCACTTACTTGTCTTGAGGCCTTGGGCAAGCTGTTTAACCTTAGTAAAAATGGAGATAATCATAACTCTGGACACGCAAAGCGAGTGTAAGGACCAAAAATAATGCGGTCAAGGAGTTAGCTGACAAGGACCCTGGCAGTGGCAAGTGCTGCACTAAAGGGCAGTGATTATTTTTAACATAGGATGTTAGGAGGAGTTTTTCTTGTTGTTCTGAAATAGTAGCACAAACGGGGCTAAGTACCCCAGTTGTAAAACTCCCCAGGAGCCAGACGCCTCCTGTCTGCTGGACTCACTAAGCCTGCCCTCCACTTCCGACCGAGGCCATGGGCTTTGCAAGAAGCCTGAGTGAGAGAGAGGGAGGAGCCTTAGCCTTTGGGGTGTGCAGCATTTGTGTCTTCTCTGAAGCCATATTTTTTGGGGGGGACCTCCAGAAGACCTCTCCAGGTCACGGGGGATGCCTGCAGTAAAGGGACACTGGCAAGCCCGCCTGCTCCCGGAGCAGAATTCTGGAGTGTGGATCCCACGTGAAGACAGAATTGGTGCTGTTTCCCACTTAGAGCTGTGTGAAGGCCCAGGCTGTCCTGTCCTGTGCTTAGAGGGGAGGCAGGCGTGATCGCATCCCGTTCTGGGTCTCTGTGGGCCTCGGAGATCTCTGTGGCTCCTGGGAAAGGTACACAGGAGTTTAAAGGAAGAGCAGAACCCACATACCAGGTGTTGAAGGAGTCTAGGGTTGAAAACGGCCCAAGGAAAATCTCCATTCCTCTGCACAGGGGTCCTCTGACTCCCTGGAGACCAGCCACTGTAGCTCCTGCAACCCATGGTGACCAGCTAGATGAGATCTCCTCTCTCTTTTCCTCCCAACCCTGCTCCCTCCTAACCCTGCTCCCTCCCAACCCTGGGAGGAGATATTGCAGCCCACCCCTCCTCTCTAAACTTCGCCCTGGAGCACCGGCCCTCATGCAATTTGCAATAGGGGAAGAGGAGAGTGTTGAACTGGTGAAGAGACCTGAGTTTTAAACTGGGCCAGATCCAGTTTAAACGAGAAGAAAAACATGGACTAAGATCAGGAAACCATCAAGGGATGGGAAAGAGAGATTCGGGGAGCATATTTGAAAACGGTGATGATAAACATGAGAACTTTTATGCTTATATCTCAATGAATTGAGACTCTTGTAATTATTTTTAGATGTCTGAGGTTTTGCCGCTCGTTCCTGATCTCCCCTCATGTTTTATGAGGGTGATGATGATGACCATGAGGGTACCTTTAGGTATATAAAGAGGCTTTAGAGTGTCTCATTTCGTTAGGTCCTCACAACCAGCCTATCAGGTGTGCAACACAAGAATTGGGCCCATTTTAAAGATTGGAAAATTTTAAGCTAGAAGCCTTTTAAAGCTTAAAGAGATTAACACCCAACCAACACCCGGTGGAGGTAGGATATTGGGAACACTCTGACTCTTCCAGTTTCTAGCCCCCAGGTTAAATGGAGTCCTCGTGGACCAGGAGCCAAGTCCCTGGATAATATGACAAAGTCCTTCCCAGATCCTGGCCGCCACTAGAGCCACAGGGTGCCTCCCAGTGGCAAGGAGTGATGCCTTGTCCACTGTTTCCAGGCTGTCCACAAGTTCAGCTGAGGGCCGGTTCTTCCCTTCTCCAGAAGGGGCAGATTGGGTGTCATCCTCCCTTTTGCACCCACCACCCACCACCCACCACCTGTATCCTGAAGCTGTAACCCCATACCTAGGATTGGCAAGAAGACATGCCCAACTCGCCCTCTGCCTCAGACCCTAGACTCGCTCCCTCAGAAGGGAGGGAGGCCTGCTGCCAAGAGATGGCAAGATGCAGAACAGATGACAAACAACTTTCCAGCCAGTATCCACTGGGCCGAGGTAATTGGCAGAGCTCCTCGGAGCACCTGGTGTTATTTTGGAGAATGTCAAAGGAAAAATCAGAAGCCCGAGCCGGTTCCTCTCTGCCTGGAAATATTTCTTCCAGATATTGTTTCTTTGGTCTTTATAATGGCCAGGCCTGGCTACCGGGGTGCTAAAGAGCTGGCCTTGCTTCCCAGAAAAGAAGATGAAAGGGATGCGGGAGCCTAGCAGTTTCCATGGAAACGATTCAGGTAGAGGGAGAATAGAGTCCAGAGGAACCCAGACACGGGAGCAGGACTTTTGAGTAAACTTGATCTGAAGCCTGAGAATCTGTGGAAAAAATATTTCTCTCTGTACAGAGGATTTGGGTCACCAGGATGGCAAGAGGAGGTGGAATAACAGTAGCTGGGGACCGTCGAGGGACACCCACCCTCCCACGACAGGCAGAGGCACAGGGGCTGAGAGCTCAGGCCTCTTTCAGCCCCTGGTTCTGCAGTTAATCAACAATTCTGCCATGCGATGGCTTGCGTGAGCCTGAGCAAGGTGTGCACCATCTCTAAGCTTTCATTTTCTCATTGGTCAAATGAGGGTAACTCTAGTAACTTACTTGTATGGGTTTTGTGAGCTTTAAGAGTGGTAATGCATGTAGAGGGTGACGTAGTGCCTGGAACACAATAAGCACTCAAAGGTTGTTGTAGATGAGAAAACTGAAGGCAATTGATAAGTCTAATCCAATTAATGCAGCCCACCCCCTGGCCAAAGTGATTAGTTCAAGGATAGGCAATGTGAGATCATATCCCAGATGTTGTAGGAGCTATTGGAAGGGACTCCCTTTTTACTTGCAGACAGTCTGGTG